GAACTTCAATAAGCCTTGACATAAACAAGCTTTCAAAAGTCACTTAATTCAAAAACAAATCTTGTTTTTCCTTAAACATACTTATGTTAATAACTGCCCCACTTTTTAAATGCTAAGCTTTTTATTGTTTACAAAAAAAAAGGGATAATAAAATTAATTCAGTTTTTTGGAGGCTTGTTTAACATTTTGTATGACGAGCATTAGTAAATAAAAAAAATAATAGATTCTAACAGCTGCGATTCAAGTCTCGAAATAAATTTAAAATATTTTGTATGTATCCTTGCTTAAGGTCTTCGTTATTTTTAGCTTAAAATAGTATAATATATTCAACATTAAAACGTTATTTATTATGCTAGTAGGTACAATAAACAAATGAAGACCGAACATTATTTATCTGTATTCTTTAAAAAAACACGCCAAGACTGCGAGGAGTTTTATCAACAGCTTTATTTGCAATTTAAAACTTCCAACTGGAATCCATTTATATTCACAGATTTTAAGAGAGTGGATTTTCAAGTGAGAGTAAATATTATAATAGGGATTATTGAAAATTTATGCGGATAGACGCGGGTTGTAGCTAAAGCAGAATTTATGAGACCTTAAATCATAAGACCGGCAAGTCGTTTGTGAGTCTCTTTGTGATTTTGTAAATCATTCATTCTTTAAATACAAAACTAAAAGGATTGCTCTTGTTAATTTATATGTCTGGACTGGCCCTAGCTTCGAAAGCGTACGTTTGTGTCCCGTAATTTTAGTAAATATAACGCATAAAGCCTTAGAGCAATGTGTCACATTATTTTATTGGGATATAATTAAATTATTAAAATAATTCTTGCGTTAGTTGAAGCTTTTTACAACTTTCATCCATAGATAGAGTAGGTACTTACTGATGGCGCGACAAATAAAATAAAATAAGCCAGTGGGGCTTAGAATTTTATTATATTTCATTTTCTTATGTTTTCGTGCGGAATACATAGTTAAATTTTAATGACATTCTCCTTTTTCAATATAAGATATATTGAGACGATAGAAGTCACAGAATAGGAAATGATCATCATAATACGCTGTTATATTAGGGAGACAATCTTGGAAATCTGTACAATTTTATCTTTACAGTGTAAAATTGTATCGTAATAAAATGAAGAAGGTAAAAATCATATTTTCTTTTTGTTTCAGGAAAATCGCAGACAAAATTAAAGGACAAATAAGGACATAAACCATGACTGTATTATATCCACCTATAAGCCAAACATCACATGTTAGTTTGTAATCTTTGACTATTTTTGTATGATGATAATTATAAGGATGTATTTAGTAAGAAAAATAAATAAATGATAATCGACCAAAAGTTGTTTGTTTCTTTCAAAGTTTATTTAAGTTTATTTATTTTTATATTACCAATAATTTCTCAATTACCTACACATTCAATAAATAGTAGACACACTGAAACCTTACACGAACGGTCTATACTGAAGAGAGCACATAAGAAACTCTACTGTTATGTGTAAATAGATATGCTTAATCGTTCTTTTCAAGTATATGTTTTATTTTAAAATATGTACTTATTTATATCAGAATTAATAATGAAATGCATGTATTTTATATAATTCAAGAATGTTTAATTTAATTTTGACTGAAATAGCACCTAGTGTTAATTAATTATGTTATATAAAAATAATGATAATTCGCACTAGGTACATGACTTACATTTCGATTTCTTCAGGATGAATGATGAATAGGATAATAAAAATGAAAACGGCTGGGCCGATTTGTCAAGTTTTTTTGACGTTCGTAATAGTTGAGTAAGACTTTTAGGAAAAAACATTTAAAAAAGTTTGTTTAGAAAATTAGAAAATTCGTGAGAACTAATAGATGATTCGATAGTCCTGCGAACATCAAGATAACAAAATTGCGTTTTAGACAACGTCTATCAATTGTCATCTACATATACTCACCCTCGCTCCACTCGGGCTCGTCCCTAGTTACGTTTTAACGTTTAGTATAGATTTCTCAGAGATGAGATATTTTCCCGCAGTAAAAAGTATCGTATAAACAAATGATCAAAAACAAATTTGTTAAATAGATAATTTTATTGGAAAATATTAATAAGGGCAATGAGATGCGGGGAAGCTAGAGCTAGTAAGAATAAAGTAAATAATTTTCTTACATTAAAAATTAATTTAATAGATTTACATTGCAGTTTTTGTATTTTTTTTAAATGAGACATTTTCCCGCGGTAAAACGTATCCTATATGTTGACCCGGATAACCAGCTATCACCATACCAAATTTCATCGAAATCCCTCCAGTGGTTTCTCTGTGATGCGGTAACAGACAGACAGATATACAGACAGACAAAAATTCTAAAAATTATACATTTGGCATCTGTATCGATTATAATAGTGACTATTTCAATAAGAATTAAAAAATAATAATTAATGTACAGATTCGGCTTAGTTACAATTTTATTATATGTATAGATAAAAATAAAACGTAATACAGACCATGATTATATACGTTGTTACGAAAGAGAACATCAAAGAATATAAAATACAAGACCACAAGACCTGTGTAGAACACATAGTTTAGAGAATTTATCTATCGTGAGACATAACTCAATAACCACTAATCCAATTTCTGTCCTTTTTATATTGTACTTGAGGGCATGACAAAGACTTAAGAAAAGCTTACTAAAATTCTAAATATTGTAGTCGATTCTACACTTTCAAGGAGACCTTAAATATAATATTTTCATACATTTCTTATTTTTTATATCTCATAATATCTTCAGGATAGTAGCATAGGTTAGCCCCTTAAAAATTTCTTTACCTGCAAATAGAACTTCTCTTCAAAATCACTTCATCTATTTCGGAAGTAACTCAAATATATAAGCAAATAAGTAATTATTATCGCAATAACATTTAAAAGAGGTAATAGGTGTAAATTTTAAACAGGATCAGGAATTCCTAAGCAAACTGCAGGTCGCAAGTTCGATTTTTATATGAAAAGAATGTTTATAATTGTCATACAGATATTTTTCGTAAATAAGTTAATTAAACACAATACTTTAGATAATGCCAGACGTCATAGACGTTTTGCAGCAGGTTTTTTGTTGAAATATCACTCACAAAACTCGTGTTTATTTTGATACCTCGATAATTCAAAAAGCTATTCCAGGGAGACGACGCATATCAATAATATTGTTAATTGTTAAAAAGTTTTTTTCACATAGTTTTATCTTTCTGTGAACGGTAAATCTCTGATACTACTGAAATTTTGAGAATCAGTCAAAATTTTTGCCATTATGCAACGATAATTATTTCTAAAAGAATTAACATTCATTGATGTACCACATTTGCAACTGAAATACTAAGAAACCACTAAAACACAAGGAAACCTCACCCGTCTTAACGAGGCGTCGCAGGATCACTTAACGCAGTCAACTGAGGCAGACCACAACAATCACAGGGTTGCCCTTACAGTCAACTTTGCTGTCAGTGAAGAACCAGGAGCAACCTGCATGGTATACCGCCCACCACCCACCCACCGAACCACCTTTTAGTTTGTCCGGCTGGATGTTAGGGCACTAATAAGATCCCAATAACTACGACTATTAAAAAGAATATTCAAATCACATCTCAATATCACCTTACGTTTAAAAACATTTCAACAAAGTGTTCTACTATTCGTACGTACATATAATGAAATCCATTATAATGCCAACAAACTAATCTTCATCTGTATTGGTGATGAGCTCTTAAAAGGCTTGGCAAAGTCACAAAACAGCTCCACTTTTACACCAACTAAGTTTTGTATGAAAAGTTTTGCTTATTGCAGTAGATGTGTGGTTTATTTCATCTCTATTTTATCAAGACCTAGGGATGCATCTTGAGTATGTTTTAGATATATTCATATGGATTGTCTATCCTGAATAAGTTTTCTTCAAGCTTCAAAATTGGACTTACAACAGCTTCTCTTATAAGCTAGAGTCGCTAACTTCCTTCACGTCAGCCTAGTGCATGCTATTAGTGTCTTTTAATAGCTGGTAATTATTAGCCTCTGGAAGTGATGTTAAATCATAAACTGCTGCTTCATTTGGCTATATATGAATAAAATATAATATAAATAAATATGTTGGGACATTAACACACAGCATCATCTAGTTCCATGGTAAGCTGCGAGGCTTGTGTTATGGATACCAGCCAGTTGATACACTACACACTCATATATAACGTTTAATACATATATATTGTAAATATAAACACCCATAACTAGAGTACAAAAATACGTGCTCATCACACAAATGAATGCTCCCAGCGGGACTCCAACCCGCGACCACTGGCGCAGCAAGTAGGGTCACTATAAACTGAGCCAAAAGTTTGTCTAATTATACATAGGTCTAGATAATGTGAGGCTGAATCATAAATATCATCAACCTATTTTAATAAGCAAAGCTTTTCATACAGAATTCGTTGCAAAGTGGTGCTATTCCGAATTTTTGCAATATCTTTTATGAGTAATTGTCGTATACTGAAGACACGTAAGAAAATACTTGTAGCACCGATACAGATGGAAATTGCCCCGTATGGGGCTGACGTTCTCATTATCTTTGTTGGTTGTTCAATGTTTCTAAAACCAAACGTGATATTGTAATGCAGTCTAATTTTATTGTTCGCATTAATAGTTATTGTTATACGAGTACTTTTCGTGATTATTCATTGAATACGCATATAATCCTCAACAAGCGATGAGTAGTATATACATATATTTTTATTATTTATGTTATAAATATTAAATCGTGTTCGTTCGTTTGTTTGACCTTTTTTCAAACAATATTAAAAGAAATATAAACAACTTTTAATCAATAATCATTTATTTATTTATTTTTCTTACTAAATACAACCTTATAATTATTATCGTACAAAAATAGTCAACGATTACAAACTAACATGTGATGTTTGTCTTATGGTAGATTTAATACAATCATGGTTTATGTCCTTATTTGTCCTTTAATTTTGTCTGTGACTTTCCTGGAACAAAAAGAAAATATAATGTTTATCTTCTTCATTTTATTACGACACACTTTTATAATAGGTTAAATTCCACGTATTTTCAAAACAGTCTCCCCAATATAGCAGTATATTATGATGATCATTTTCTTTCTGTGAGTTCTATTATATTGCAAAAGAGGAATGCAAGTTAGTCATTTGTCATAAGTCAGTTAGATGAAGTATGAAAAAGAGTTAGATGCAGTATCGAGTGCAATACGTATGTTATGTGCCTGACTGAACTCACGACTGAGCTAGTGCCAGTTGGATATATAAATTAACAAGAGCAACTCTTTCAAAGACGCCGCTCAAAGGTATTTCGACACCGCAGCTTCGCACCCTAACCCGCTAGAGGTGCAAGCGAGCTCGTACGCGCAGCGACCCCACGACCCGCGTTTTAGACGTCCGTGAAACATTCTGACTGACCCCGACGACGCTATAACGTTAGTGAACGCCGCGTTTCAAATCAATACACGAACTCGGTGCGTCGTCGCTGGTGACGACGCAGCCGAGACCGCCGAGATTCGCAATACCTCAGCCGCGATCGGGCGCGCTCCTAGACGACCTTCCTAACACAGTCGAAACACAAAAGTAATATACAATTACACACAGTTACATACATTTTACTCCACTTCGGGTAATATATAATTTTAATTTCATTTTAATTTAATGTATAGTCAAATACGGTGTCGATCCAGCGTCACCGCTGTCTTTCTGAGCCGTCATTATTAGGCTCCAAATTTTTGAGGTCAGGCTTACTAGCCCGCCTCCCCCCAACCGGTTACGCTGTCAAGGCCCCTATGGCTAGCAGCAACAGAATTAAGATAACATAACATCTTTTATTTTCATATTTAACTTTCTTTTTTTTTAAGATTTAGTCTCTCCCGTGATCATGATTGCTGTAAAGCATTCGAAACGTCGGGAACCAAAAATCCATTCGAAACGTCAGGAATCAAAAATCAAAATAAATCCGCGAAATAATCCGAAAAGATAGATTTACTTAAAAAGATCTTCAAAAATTTTATCGATAAATAAAAAGTTAATTAACCATATTATCCCAATTTTTTTTGTAAACAACAAAAAGCTTTGCATTTATAAAGTAGGGCAGTTGTTAACACAAGTATGTTTAAGGTAAAACAAGATTTATTTTGAATTAAGTGACTTTTGATCGCTTGTTTATGTCAAGGTTTACTGAAGTTCAAATTTTTTATTGCTTTGCTAAACTGTAGAGTATGCGCATATAACCAGTTATTCGATATCTCCAAATATAGCAAGTTCGTAGTGTCGTGTAATTATCTTATATCAGCTTTTTACTAGATATTAAAATATGAATCTCGAATATTTTTATTCCTGCAATTTTTAAAATGAGTAAGTCGATCACTATAGATATTTTGTCCGTGTGTAGTATTTTTATTTTTTTTATTTTAAATGATTTTTTGTTTTTATATAAATACATGAAACTTGTACTTTAGTTTGCAGCTATTATAATATATCTACTAGTTATGGCCGGGGCTCTAGTCACGTAGTTTATTTATGTATACTTTCTTCGCATTTAGGATTCGTGACGTTAATTTCAAATTTTTGTGTGAGTGAATTTCACTTATAATATACATTATAAATAAATAGATTTCTAATTTTGTCGTCAATATAAAAATAACGGAGTCGAATCTGCTTATTAAATATTTTTCGGAAAATATTATTGCAATAACCATTATTATCCATACAGAGTCCGAATCTGTCTGTTTGTTAGCGCATCACAGGAAAACCACTGGACTGATTATGATGAAATTTGATATTGTGATAGCTGATTATTCGGATCAACTTTCGGATCCGGATCAGCAAGTTAACTTACAAAATAAGGCAAAAAATTATAATGAATGTTCTCCTGACCGATTCCGGCCACGGCGGCCAATCTCATTGAGACTAGCCAACTCGCAGGAGATATTATAGTGCTCAAGTGTACGCTCAGACACAGGTGCACTCTCTATTCCTATCACTCTCATACTACTCATACATCTCACGACCGGTGAGAGTTAAGGCGCAGGAGCGACGGCTTATACGTGCTCTCCGAGGCACGGGGGTGAAGCACCGCCAACTTCCCAACTCTGGGCTTACTATACAAAACGATTCAATAACTAAACTTGGCCCGGGACTCAAACCCAGGACCTCCGGGTGTGCAGCCGTACATGCTAGCCACTACACCACCGAGGCAGTTAAAAAAATTATAAATAGTTTCAAATCATCAACACATGTCACCATGATCTTTTAAATGACAAATATGACCTTTCTATGATTTTATTAGAATATAACTAGCATTACTCGTGGATTCGCCACAATTGCAGCGGACTATGCTAGTCCTCTGTCAATATATTCTACGTGTTACTTTTTGAGGAAAAAAAATTAATCATAACACAAAATAAGTTGTTGGTAATAATACTGTACAAACATTGGAGTATAGGAGGGCTCTTACCAAAATATATCCTATACAGCTGGTTGAAAGGCATCTCTATTGCCACTGTAGTTAAAATCGATACCACCAACACAACCGCAATTTCCGGAACATGGAACTGAAATAGTATAATTTAATATTAATAACTATTCGTATTTCTTTACAAGTCGTAATAATAATTCATTCCTACGTCAAATAAAACTAATAAGGGATCAAAAAAAAAAATATTTGGGATGAATAGAACATATAACAATATATATTCTTTCTATTTGTTTTGTCTCGTATCTTTTTAAAATGGTTTGTCGAATTCCAATTAAAAATAATATTTTTTGATTAAAAAATCATATACTAAAAACATACTCTTATAATTGGAATTTGTCAAATTGAATAACCTCAAGTACGACCGTTTTACTAGTAACAATTGAAAAATAAAACTATCTACCTCGCGACTCTATTATTAGATCAGCTTGTATGAAATTTTTGAATTGTCATCCGTGTTTCATATCGATATTTACAGTTTCAAATCGTTAATAAAGGTAGTTTAGAATCGATTTCGAATATTAAATTACATAGTTACAAGTGAAAACAGTATTATTTTTTTAAATCGATAACGTACACAACTTTCTCTTCCCAATTTGAATTTGATCCAAAATAGTTAATAACTAAGTCGAATAGATCTAGAACAAAACGATATACCTAAATCTTGAGTTATTTTAAATATAACTATCTTTTCAATAATGAACGTCAGTCACGGGAGAGACCCTGTGACCATGATTGCTGTAAAGCATTCGAAACATCAACATATGAGCACAGTAGCTAGCCAATTTACCAAGCAATCAATTTATCAACGCAACAAGTGATGGATCTCAAAAAGGTTAATCAAGAAGTTATCGTTCCTATTATCTATATTGTAATAAATATGCAATATATATTATGTAAATTAATTAAAGTTATATAAATTTGGAATATCGAATGAGACAATTGAAAACTAATGTTTTAGTTTTTTACAGGCGGACATTATAAGTTAAAATATATCACAAGGTATTTAGAAAAGCCAAAGGGTTTTCGTGACAAGGTTTTAAGATAACAAGGGTAAGATTTCTTCGTCAAGACAGCAATGACGTAGCTATAAATTCTATACAAACAGTTTAGGCAGTAATTTCATACGACAGTTGATCCTTTTCAAAGCACATCTCTATTTACAAAATCTGATTGAATTTGATTTGCCTTGTTCTAAAATAAACGATATATTTAAATGAATTTCTGTTTCATCTGTAAATATGTATTTCAATGAATAATATCTGGAAATCATTAAACATAGTACTTGTATACTATAGTATTCGATGTGGCACCGTAATTGATTGAAATGATTTAGTTCTTATGAGTAGGTAACCATTAGTAAAATATTAGTAATCTAAAGTTCTGTGGTATAATAAAATAACCATTTTTATTAGTAGGGTGATAATAATCGTAAGAGTATTCATTATATCTATTTAAAGTGTTTAACTATAAAACGTAGGGTTTAATCAAATTGGTTTTTTACAATCCTGATTGCTAATAGAAAACTAAAAAAACGTATGGAAAGAACATTATTGAAATTTATCATTCATAGACGGGCACCTCTTGAAATACGAATGGAATTTCAATAGTGCGATAATTATAAGATTAGAACTAAAATATTACGTATACCTTATAAGGTATAGGTTAAGGTAATTACAAATAACATTTTATTTGTGTGTTACGCGATATTTTCGGCAATTACTTAAACCGATTTTCAACATTATTTTTTAATGAATAGGGTAAAGGAGGTATGAATTTATATGGGTTTACATATTCATATAAATACTATCCCAAGAAAATTTCACCACTAAATTAGGAATTTTTACTACTTTTAACTGATTTTTAAGTTGATTTTTTATTAGTAAAACAACGTTCGTTCAACGGTTTACGCGTAAATGAGCAACATCCCTACATCTTCACAAATCACAAACTTTCATATTTGTAATATTAGTAAAGATATGAGAAACTTACAAGCAGCAGTGGCGTGTAGTGTTCAGAATGTCTCTGGACTCCGACATTGTAGAAGAATATAGGAAACTGGGTTAAGTAAACACTGTATGCGATTTTATTGAAGAACTTGAACACTCGTGACTCGACGAATGCTGTTCCTACACCTGAAAATTTAAATTAATTATTTAGAGTGCACAGCTTTCATGCTTTTAAGTTATGAAATATTAATGTAATTTTAGTCATTAAAGCTTATAGATTTTGCAGTGTGTTATTAAATGAAAGTGTAAATAAAAACTAGAACGTAGTTTTCATTTTCATACATTTTTTAATGTCTTTTATAGTATGATTGAAACGTATTAAATTATTTGTTATAACAAGTTTTTTTTTAATACTAACCGTAGTTATGCTCTCAAAAAAAAGCACTTATCATGTATTAGAATTCATTTTTTATGGTTTTCAACCGTTATCTATTAGTAATTCGATAAACATATCAAATTCCACTTATATATAATATCTTACCTGCATAATCATGACAAATGCACCAATGCGCCATGCACATGAACATGCCCCATAATATCGGCGTGATTGCTGCGAACATGGCCGCGGGGTAGTGTTCATACTTGTACCCCTCCAGCCCCATCTTGTAGGGGCTTACTATGGTGTAAACGCCCAGCGCTAAGCACAGAACCCACACTAATCCTGCTTGTGTCTATAAAAATTGGTACTTGTGTTACATTATAATATATTTGTGTTAAAAAATATATTTGATACTTATTTCTAAGAATTGCTACTGAATCAATTTGTTTATTTAGATGAAATGTGGAAAGATCTTCTAGTTAGTGATCTTCTAGATGAAACTAGTTTATTTTATTATAACTATATTATCTATACTAAATGTAATTAAACTAAATATTTTGGAGTTTTAACTTATTACTCAGGTTAAAATTTAGGATATATTTTACTACAAGAAAAACTTTTATTCCCACGGGAAAACGCAATAACTGGTCGGCAGCCTTGTCCCTCATACAAAAATTTCAATAATTTATTACACAAAAACTTTTAGTAGCAAGATAATAAATAACATATTTAACAATTTTGTGTGGTAAAATCACTCATTTTCATGGGAAAACACAAAATTTAGTTCGGGCCCAAGTCGTTCGTCTTTATAAAACAAAGTTGATGTCGTTGTTACTGCCTCTATATGTTTCTTCGCTTCTCAATCACGCAACGGATTTTGATAAGGTTTTCACCAATAGAAAGAATGATAAACGAGGAAAGTTTCAACATAATTTGTAAATATTTTGTGTATAAGGTTCAGCCAGAACTATCACGGTGTTTGTCAAAAAAAATATTTTCATACGATACATACTCGTATGTATGTATATCAAAAGAATGTATTAGAAAATTATAGGTTTTAAAAAGGCCTATCGAAAATTCCGTAGTAGCACAGATACAGTATCTTCTAAGGTACACTCACAATAACTTATTTATCTATTCCAAATGTACCTCGACGACGCATTATAATTAATTCTTATTCAGTCAATGGCGTAGTTTTACGGAAGATACAATGTGATTACACTAAAATTGATATGTTTTTATTTTTTTTTTTCATAATAATTGTATTTTTAAGGTCGTGACCTCCTAGGCCACACGTAATAGGTCGCCTTCGCCGGATCTTAGTACATCAAAAACCATTTCTATTGCCTGGGATCGAACCTCTCGCTTGGACCTACATTTTCATTGAGGTGAATTAAAAAATGTCCTACTTATTAAACGTATAAAAAGAACAAAATAAGTTTCATATTATATATACTTATGTATTAAATTATACTTACACGACTGAGATTTATGTGAGATTTCTTAGACTTAATTAGATACGCCATCATAACGCCTATTAGGTATATAGTAGCTCGGTGAGTGGGCAGAATGTAGGAATATCGAGCTGCGTCCAGTAACTTTCTAACTCTGAAACGATATATAATTAGTATCATTTAATATGTTTTAAATGAAAATATTTTTTTTTAAATAAAACACATTTTTAAGAAATATGTGTGATGCTACTGTAGTTCGTTAAAATTCTGTGTACGAAATAAAAATCTTGCCCGGTTAAGTAGCGTTGCTTAAAAGGGCTTAAAACCTTTGTCACAGGATTGTTTTGTGTCACACTCATGATTTTCGGGTTTACAACAATGTGGTGCCGAAAACATAATATTCTTTATAGACAACTATTGTTTATTTCCATATGATGTTAGATAATGTTACAGTTGTATTTTAATTTTACACCTACATGTATATTTTTTTAATTTATTTTAATTTTAAAGCTTACTAATGAAAAGTAGTATAAAATAACCTTATATAATAGAAAATAATCTAATATAATATCAAAATGTTCAGTGTTGGTTTCTGGTAGCAGATAAATAAATTACGCTTAAATAGAGAGTATGGTTCTTTCTGTATTTGTGTATATGTTTTGTGTCTGTTAACATTTTTCTCGGAAACGGCTAGGCCGATTTTGAACCGGTTTCTTGCTATGTATAATCTCCTTCCTACAGGCGCTACAGTATACACATGTTTTTCCAAAACGGTTTTTGGAATTTTTTATTTGAAGTTTTTTCACGTCACAAGTTCCGGTCGTGGGTTATTTGAATTTTTAATTTGTTTTATAATAATAATCATAATAATAATTTTGTTGACAAGATAACAGTTTAAAAATGCCAATCGCGTATTAAAATATAAACAAATGAACACTCGTAAACGTGATCCTTGTTCACAGATAATTTTAATTAATGTTTTTGTCCATAATCAATACTTATTTCGAACGCATATACTCGTATGTACGAAATATTACCCACCCACGTCACGTCGCAGTAGTCATGTGTAGATCATGTCTGCATCATTTGCATAGTTAGAATACTTCCTGTTTCAATCTATACCTACTTATGTTTAAGTTTTCTGTTAGCATATTATGTTATCTGTCTCTCATAACTGTTTGTTTGGTAAAGCTACTATTTATCTCGGGAAAGAGAGTAGCCAGTTTCGTGTAGAAAAGAAGATAGAAGAAGAACGGCTTATTATTTTTTGAGGGTTTTTACTGGAACGCAGTGGGTTTGTTTAGCAGGATAAATGGTAGTTTTATAAGGTTTCCTTTATAGGGTACAGGGAGGATGGATTGTAGTAAATCCAATACGAATTTTTTTAAAGCGGGACGTGGATTGGTTTTCAAGGGTTTATATGGAAGAACAAGTTGGAAGAGAATGGGCTCAGTAATGCCCGGCAATGCAGTCGGGCGTAAAGCCAAGAAACGTACTGGGAGGCGGCTCACCTCGGTGGGCGGTGTGCCACGGGTTGCTCCTGGTCTTCTCTGTTAGTAGAGTGGGCCATAGCAGCAACCCCATAGGTGTTGTTATCTGCTTCGGCAGATCTGCTGCCGGGGCGTCGTGGTTAAGTGCGTAAGCGATCCTGCGACGCCCCATTAAAACGAGGGAGGTTCCGTTGGGTTTTAGTGGGTTGTACTGGCTTTACCGGTGAGTTCTACACCTTGTGCCTAAATGCTTTTCTCAATGTTAAAAAAAAGGTATTGTAGGTGTATTTCTTTATTGGATGTAGATAACCTAAGAATAAATAAAGATATGATATAATAGTACTTACGAAATGCCATAGTACACGAACATGCTGATATCGTACCAATGTGTAGCGAGGTATCTCAATACTGTCGACGCGACGGCTATGCCCACTATGAGCATAAAACCTACTTTCCTAAACTTCCATAGTATCAGCATTAAAGGCAAAGTTGCCGCGTACAGCTGCATGTCTATACCGATTTGATGCGTATGGGTTAGACACTGAAACAAAACAAAACCCTTGTGATGATTTGATCTTCATCAGATTCTTCTGAATGAATTGGTTATGATTAACGTACGTTATTAGTGTATGCGTAGGTAGAGCAGTCGGCAGAAATGGTTTTTACAGACATGTATTTTTTAAAGTGAAATCTTCGACGGGCAGGTTTGGATGGGGAGTAAATTCATGTAAATTGTCATCGACATGGTCACGTGACGTGTTAACGCTAACATTCAGAGTGCCTATAGATGTCAAAACCAGATAAATGTAAACAGTTTTAATTTACTTTTAATTTAAGATCAAACAATTAATTTAAATATTCAAAAATAACAACTATTTGTTTATAGTTTTAAGTTTTCACTTGTGTCGGCAGTCCTCATGACTGCTTTTTTATCCAACTGCAAGGAAAGGGTTATGTTTTTCGCGCCTATCCTTAGTATGTTTGTTTATAATATTCTTTATTCCTTCATATCTTCCAAACCACTCGATGGATTTCTTTAATGGAGGAATCGTTAGATTAGTCTTATTAGTTCAAGTTTGATAGGTGACATAAAAATAAATAAATATGGGGGCTGCTAGATTTCATTGTTTAAGGTGATTTTTTTTTAACAGTTTAGGTTATATAATGATTTAAAGTTCTCGCAAATTTTCCTACATAAAAACACTTAAAAAGTTGTTAATAAATAAATATATTATAAAAATAAAAAAAAACCCGACTGCATAAAAGCTAACTAAAAAGATGAAAAGTACAAGTTCACGAAGGAATATAGTATAAATACAGTCGGAGACAAAGATACGAGTATGTACATCTCGCGGCAAGGATGAAACGTGTATGTCTTCGACTGCATAATAGGGTAGGTACTATATTCCTTCATAAACTTGTTTTCATCTTTTTAGCTAGCTTTTATGCAGTCGGATTTTTGATTTTTAAAATATTATATCTAATATTATTATTACAAAAGTCTATTTACGAAATTAATATATAGTATAAAATTATTTGTACTTTTTCACTTCTTAGTCATTTTATTTGTAATAAGCAAAATGAACCAAATTCTGAAAACATTTTAGAGATAAAGATTTTTTTGCAGAAAGATTTAGCATTAATAAATTTTCCCCTAATATACGTATAGTTACGAACTGCAACCTTCGCGTAAGGTCTCTCGTACATTATATCTGACCGCAAGATTACAGTGTTATGAATAATAACTATCTAGTACAATTATATATTAAAAAGCCTGTATCAATGACAGCCTTTGGTCAGTTTTAAATAATTAACATTAATTTCGCAAACATGTTTTATACAGTTGATGCAAAAATTATAAAAAAAAGTCTAGTTTTTTTTATTCTAAGCAAATATTAAAATGAAAATATCTATACAATATATCTATAAAATATAAATATATATCTATAAAATATACGTATAATAAAATTGTAACTAAGCCGAACATTAAATATTTTTTGGGAACTCTTATTAAAATAGACATTATTATCGATACAGAGGCCGAATCTATCGTTTTTAGAATTTTTGTCTGTCTGTCTGTTACCGCATCACGGAAAAACCACTGGAAGGATTTTGATGAAATTTGGTATGGTGATAGCTAGTTATCCGGGTCAACATATAGGATACTTTTTACTGCAGGAAGATATCCCATTTCTGAGAAATCTATACTAAACGTTAAAACGTAAGCAGGGACGAACCGAGCGGAGCGAGTGAGTCGCTAGTATATTATATATTTCTACTTATGCTTACTACAAAGGATTACTTAAGCTGGACTAATATTTCCAAGGTAAGATAGTTTCTTCACACCTATCTTGAAATTGCACAAGCAATTTTTGGTATAGACCATAAATAATCCACTAAAATAATGTGAAATGAAATATTTAGGGTCAGGGGTCAGCTTGACCCAGCAAAATACCCTTGTAACGGCCTACCTTTTATAAGACTTGACTCCCAGTGAAGTGTTTACATATAAAATATTATTTAGATCCCTTTGTTACTGAATTTTAACACTTGAATTCATTGCTTTCCATTATGAGAGTTTCTTGGAATATTACAAGAGCAAATCAATCATTAAAATATTAAAATTCATCCCTTCTGTATCGAGAAATATGTAAATGCAAGAATTTATGGTAAGCTCATATAAATTTACGTTAGTTTGTTTTGGAAAATTGTTATATTATTAGTATTGTAATTAAGAAAAATATTGTAGCTTTTTTAGAAAGCTTAGCTTTGAAATTCAATTTTCGTATTATGTAATAATTAACTTATATATGAATATATGTTAGAGGTCGTGCGGTGGTTTTTTTTTGAGAGAAACATCTCTATGATTGGACATAGAGATCTATCCATATCTATTTATCAATCTATAATATAGTTCTACTCCATCAGGTTCCCTTGTTTGATACAAAAACAGAAAGAAGCAGAGAGAACGCGACTGACTTACTTTACCTTCCAATTTTGCTAGTATCAAGTATCAAGAAATTGGTTTTATGATATATGTCGATATATTTAAGAAAAAAATTAATAATACACATTAATTTCGTACAAGAATCGAACCTGCGATGTACAAGGCAGTGACAGTTAACGTTTAGTATATCTCAACGATGTTACGATGCGCAACGATATGCCTATATGCCATAAATTTTTAGGTATGTGGTTAAAAACCTATACATATAAATTGTTAAATGTTCTTAGTTACGCAAGTCTAATGTACAATATAAACGATGTTTCACTTTGAAGTGGTTAGTTTTAGTAAGAAAAGTGCTTACCTTTTATATTTCAATATAATAATAGAAAACCCTTATTTGATGGAAATATAAGGGAAGTACTTGAAGCTTTACAAAAAATATTTCTGCTATTTTTATTTTAAACATGAAAATTCTTATAATGGATTTTTGTGCAAAGTTAATAGTTGTCCGTTAAAAAAATCATATTATATATATATTACATATCTATTTAAATTTAAAAAATAATTTACATAATAAATTAATTATTGTGAGTGTTAATCAATAATAATATATCAAGTAGGTCGATACTCATCGCACACAGTAATTGGGTCGCATCCAAACAATGCATACCAAAAACTGCACGTTCAGCAAAAAGTACTGAGCATACATTTAATAAGTGTGACACCGGCATTATATAACGCTCATGGGAACTCTTAATAATCGCTCGAACTATCATATTAGTTCAATTTCGTTATTTGCCGGAAGAGTTACGATACACTAGCGCTGTCAGACTGCGATGGCCTTCTTGGGTGAACTAAGTGAATATTATATGAAGTAAAAATATTAAATCTTTGATAAATATAAATTCATCTCGCGTAAGATACATTACAAGTATATTTATTAAAATCAGATACAATTCTTTTCATTTACGTAGATAAAATGAATATTTATTATTAAATAATTAATACATTGACGACACGTTTGGCTCAGTTTGTAATGAACTTACTTGCTGTGCCAGCGGTCGCAGGTTCGAGTTCCGCTAGGGATATTCATTTGTGTGATGAGCACGAATGTGTATAGGTACTCTAGTCATAGGTGTTTATATTTATAATATGTATATATTTAAAGTTATATATATGTAGTGTATCAACTATCTGGTATCCATAACACAAGCCTCGTAGCTTACCATGGAACTAGATGGTGCTGTGTGTTAATGTCAGAATATATTTATTTATTATTTATTTATGTATAGACATCACAATGATTTAATTTTATATGTACATAATCCGAAAAACGATGATATATAAAGACCTAGGTCGTGATTTATGACGTCTCGTCAATCTATAGTTAGTTTCAATAAAGCTTAAACTTTTATTGGTATTGCTAAGTTTAAATAAATAATAATAATAAATTTGAGTTTTCCTTACAGACTTAGGGAAATAATAAGGGATCTTAATTAATTAAAATATTATTTTTGTAATTAAACACTTAATCAGCACTCTAATATTTCTAATGTTTAATAATTTTGAATTTAAATCCAGAGAAAGTTTTTGTAAAGTCAATATAGATACTTGTTCCGGGTACAAAAACAAACAATTTGTTTTGAATTTGTTATCTTAACTAAACCGGAAACCCCACAATAACTTCCGGAACTATAGTTTAAAATATCAAATAGGTTTGCTTTTTCACTATCGCAATATTATAGTATAGTAGAATTTAATCATAAGTTAATGTAAACAAAAAAAATATATAAAAAATATCACCTAAAACAAAAATCTACTAATATTATAAATGTGAGTTTGTGAGGATGTATAGATGTCTAGATGTTTGTTACTCTTTCACGCAAAAACCCCTGAATGAATTTTAATGAAAATCTACATTAATATAGTTCATACATCAGAATAACACATATGCTACTTTTTATCCCGGAAAAATGTACGGTTCCCGTGGGATAGATTTGTTTTTGTTTTTCTAAATGCGAACCCGAGCGAAGCGAGTATGAGCCGGTAGCATACAAATAAATACGAAAATGAGATACTTCTATTCATTATGCAGCACACACTTAAATTACATTATATATTATGGAGTTTCGTTGTTCACCTCTGCATTTTAACATCAGATCGCTAACGCACCTTATCTAGGCCTCAGAGTTATCACTGTTCATACATCTGTATATACAAAAAAGCGGGCCGAAGATACGATCTATGAAAGAGTACGATTAAATAGCATACCATTTCCTCAAATCCAAAGTAGTTATGTATGAACAAGAAGCTTTTCCACATATTGTTCTGACACACCCTACTGTGCTCTTCCACCACGAGGTTCCACTGCGGGCCGTTGTTGATGCTCGGCAGAATGTACGTGCAGAATAACATCAGACTCAGGAACATTGGAAATAGTCTGTAAAAGATAAATAAAACAAACAAATGGTATTAAATATATGAAATTTTCAAAACTTTTTCATTTTAGACAATATATTTTTTAACTATGTTTACGCTATTATTAAGAGATTAAAATTTGCTCCTTTGTTATTCTCTGGAATTATACTATTTGTGATAATTTAATACCGCTGATTGGATCTGATCTGAGTCAGGAAGTGGATAGTAGATAGTTTTAATAAAATTCTCTTCTATTAGTAAAGCCTTCGAGGTTTCTTCGATTCAACTTGACGAGTCTCATTACACTACCTAAATTTAGTCGAAAGTTTAAGGTTCTAATTCTTTAAACCATATGACCGACAGATTTGCGAGTTTTCCGAGGCATAGGGGTGTAACGGTGCCCACTTCCGGGCTACTACAGAGAATATCTTATCAGATAAACTCAATAACTGTACTTGGGCTGACCTGTTTATCGAACCCAGGACCTACCGATCCGCCACTGCTGATGCTATTCAGTATATGCTATCCCCTAAAACGAGGCGAGAGCGGACTAGCGAGCTATGAGTTTTAATACTGAAAATTGTATAAAGCCGTGTGTTAATTAGTATATTTTCTTGTGTACGTAGTTTGAGTCATTTTAGTATGCAAATAACAATGTTGAGATTAACTAATTAACGCGTCGCGTGATTTATATTTGACTTTAAATTTATAGAGGATATGTTTATTGAATATTCATATTCACTCGTAAAACATTAATATAACTTTAGTGGGTCAAAATTTATGACTATAGATAATATAATTTTTTTAAAATTAAATTACAATGTTTTCTTTCAAGGCGGAACGCCATTTTACGGTCTTCAAATTAAAAAAAAAATGGTTAAATAACAAATCCTAATTAGTTATTTCACATAATTTATAAAATACTACTTTATTTATTTTTTTATGTTTGGTGTTTCTATAGAAGTTTTTCCTTGCATCGTAATTTTTTTTTAAATATCGCTACGGAGATAGCTTAACAATAGTTTTGAGAGAACAAGATTCGAGTGCTATCTATTAACATAACAAATTATGTTAAAAGATTAGAGGCATCTTATATATAATTAGTGACTCACTCTCGCTTCGCTCGGGTTTGTCCCTAAGTTGATTCCCCATACAAACTTTCTTCCCCATTTTCACCCCCTTAAGGGATGATTTCCGGGATAAAAAAATCATCTAAATCGGTTCAGTACATCCAGAGATTACCCCCTACAACGTCACAAACTCACAAACTTTACCTCTTTATAATTATATTAATATAGATTAACACTTAGATTGCTTTTTCTCGATGTAACTAACATAGGTATCAAAGCGCAAAAAATATATGCGAAAGTACGTTTGTTGGTTTGTTCTTGAAGCAAACAACAGAGTACAATATTGCAGGTGATTTTTTTTATACAGTATAATTAATAAGAACAGTAATATAGGAAGAGAGTTAAATATGCTATTTGGTATCCCGGATGATTAAGGGTTTCCTGTGGAGATTACGCTGTTGTGAAAAGTTACCTAGAGTACGTATAGCGAAGGCGCGTCTCTAAAATTATAAAGGCACATTAACAGTTGAAAGATACGAAGATGAATGTCTGAAAGCGTTATTTGTCTCTTAATCACGGCTAATGGGAAATATCTATTATAAATGTGCAAGTGTTTGTTTGTTTATCTTTACTTGATTAGCGTGATTTTTTGTGTGGAGATGGTTGGAGGGCTTGAGATTGACATAGGCTACTTTTTACCACGGGAGATGATCTCCTTCCCACAGGAAAACACGTTATAATACAACCCAAAAAATTATTTTGTGTGGAAATCCCACAGACAATATAACGTCTGTGGGAAATCCTTACTATGTAAATCCATTACTATCCGTTTCTTTAAAATAACTTACGAGTATAATTAACTTACCTAAACCATCTGGCCAGCAGTCTGTCCTTCATGTTAATAGTACCGGTCTTCTCTAAGTCCTGGAGAAGATTGTGAGCGTTTAAAAACCCACTGAGGTATAAAAAGCTGTCTGTATATACTATCGATGATCGCCCGATTACGGCCCAGGGCATACTAAATGTCTAAAACAATAAATATAAAATTATCTATACATATAATAAAATTCTAACTAAGTCGAATCTGTACATTAAATATTTTTTGAAAAATCTTATTGAAATAGACATGATTATCGACACAGAGGCGGAATCTATAGTTTTTAGAGTTTTTGTCTATCTGTCTGTCTGCCTGTTACCGCATCACAAAAAAACTACTGGAGGGATTTTGATGAAATTTGGAATGGTCATAGGTGGTTATCCGGGTCAACATACATACTTTTTACCGCGGGAAAATATCTCATTTCTGAGAAAAAATACAAAAACTGGTTAGAATAAAGCCACGACGATACTATATATATTTTAGCAAGGTATCTTACTAAATAAAGCAAAAACTATTAATAACGATAGCGCTATTTTATTTGGTTTTTGGTAATCTGAATGCGGGCGGAGCCTCGGGTAATGCTAGTTATATATAAAATTAATCATTCAAATACATACATATGGTACATAATTTAACAATTATTTATATAATAATTTATAATTAATAGTTATTAATTAATATAATTAACATAATTTAATAATTATTTGAAGAAATAATAACAAAACATATTTGTTTCTCCCGTGTTCTGTTTATTTTAATATATTGCGTATTTAGTGCGAGTTTTCGTCACACTTTTCTTTTTATTACATCAGAATCTGTATGATCTATTTCATTTGCTTTGGTACAGGAATCGAACCTGTGACTTCTGCTAAGAGAACAATCCCGCAAAATAATTTTATTATGACACAAACTCTTCCTTTTAAAGTTTTAAAAGATAAATCATACCTATAGAGATTAGATTAACCGAAATAGAAAAAAATATATAGACTATTTGAAAACAATTCAATTAGTGTCGAACAAAATTGAATGGAGTAGGTACTGTATCGGAATATTCTATCTTACAATACGTGACATCTCGTTACATATTTTTATTATTGCATCTAGCTTGCAGTTTGCAGTTGAAGCATCTAGTATATTTTTTTAGAAAATGTTATTGAAAAAGTAATTACAATCGATAAAGTATATAGTTTTTAGAATTTGTCTGTCTGTTTGTCTGTCTGTCTGTCTGTCTGTCTGTCTGTATGTATGTATGTATGTATGTATGTCTGTCTGTCTGTCTGTCTGTCTGTCTGTCTGTCTGTCTGTCTGTCTGTCTGTCTGTCTGTCTGTCTGTCTGTCTGTTTGTCTGTCTGTCTGTCTGTCTGTCTGTGACCACATCACGGAAAAACCATTGGAGGGATTTTGATGAAATTTGGTATTATGACTGTCCAGGTCAACATATAAGATACTTTTTACTGCGAAAAAATATCTCATATTTGAGAAATCTGTACTAAACGTTAAAGCGTAAGTATATTATTAATATTTCGCTCTTAATAAATCAGGTAGTACAATATCTGTCACTTGCGAGATAACCGCAAAAAGTTAAAAAAATCATAAATGATTTTATAATAGTCTAATGGTCGTTTTTCATATTGAGCTTTTATTTTTTAATTTATTATTTTTACACACGACATCCATAATAAGTAATTGAAATTATTTGCATATTTTAATAGATAACAAACATGTAACCAAGATGCCCTCTCTTTCTGACGTTTCATCGACGTTGATATTTTTATTTAATCTCAACTTTTTGCATATTTTTTAATTATGCATATTGACTACTTGACAAACAATTTTATAAGTTCTATGCGTAGTAATGTAATTGGCAGTTTTGGACTACAAAAATATTTTCCCGCAGTAAAAAGTATCCTATATGTTAACCCGGATAACAAGCTATCATCATACCAAATTTCATCAATATCTGTCTATAGTTCTTTGCAAGTTACATGAGTTCTGTGACACATCACCGTTTCCCGAATTACGCATTATATGTTTGTAAATTAATATATATTTTTTTATAATATTTTAATTTTATTGCCCTGTTATTAATGCAAAAAATATAAAAATTCAAGTTATTAATCATACAAAACAAAAACAGTATCGTTTGATTTAATTTAGTGAAATACAAAATAAAAACCATTTTATTTTTTAACTACGCAGTTCGTGTAATGGAACGGTGTGTTAACAGAGCTGGGACACTCGTAATCGGCAGCCATTTCGTGATCGCTTGACAATCGCGTCAGTATACATTAAAAGACTGGGAGCGGTACATTGCAATAGACCGATTGAAAGACCAACTAATAATACATGTTGGTGATGACTCTTCAAGTGATTCTGACAATGCTGATAACTTTTCAGAAACTGAATAAACAATTTAGTATTTTTAATTCTGTTTTATTTTACCATGTAGGTACTTTACCATGTAATGTCTTTATAAACAATAAAGTTTTAATACAATATACATAACTGATTAATATTTAAAATTTAGTTACTTTATGTAATGAAATCGGTTTAATTTTCTTATAAAGTGAATTCGATTCTCAGAAAAAATCGATACGAATTCACTATAGGACATCTGTACAACTGTCGAAATTGAATTGTCACAGAAATCATGTAAGGTGAAAAGGACTATAGTGGTTTTCTCATGATGCGTTCTTAGACAGACAGACAAAAATTCTAAAAACTATAGATTAGGCCTCTGTATCGATAATAATGACTATTTCAATAAGATTTAAAAAAAAAATTAAGTACAGTTTCCGCTCAGTTAGAATTTTACTATGCCTACGTATAGATTACTGAATTATAATATTATAGTATTACTGTATTTCGCTTAAGTGCAATAAAGAATAGTATATATAATTATTATCCTCATATATTACCTCAGAATAGCTTGTCTTGTTCGTGTATGGACTGTGCGCCATTGCGACAGATTTGTGCGCGATGAATAACGCGAATGCATTGGTTCCTCTAAACACATCAATACCTTTCACACTGGACTGTGAGTCGGATAAGTCGAAAAGACGTCTAAAATTGCGTTTTAAGGAAAAAGCATTCAGTAACTTCTCAAAATTCGTCTCGCCATCTCTCCCATCGTCAAACAATGTTCCCAAACTGAGCAGAAGTATTACTGCCAAGAAAAATGTTCTGTAACAAAATGTCAAGACTTTTTTTAAATTACTAGTTAGCGTTTTTTTATATTTTTATAAGCTCTTAATATGTACACAATTTTATATTAAGAATTTTGTACTAATTTATAACTTGATAATATGTATCGTGGGCATGTTGCACGAAAAAATCACAAAACTGAATAAATGTGTTAATAAAATAATAAATCATTGTACGATAATATCTACGTAATAAATTTATTGAAATAAATAGTTTAACAGGAGTTTAAATAAATTTCTAAGAAATTAATTAAATTTCTAAAAAACCCATTGATAACACACATCGGTGTGCCCGCGGTCATTGAGGGAACAGTTACCGCATCAAGTTACTCACATGGCAAGCGATTTTCCAAGCGAATATGGCCGCGTCACATTCTTCACTGTACACATTATGTTTTGAACTTTGACTGATATACCGAGGTCCGACATCTTGAGAGACAGTTCATCTTCCAGGTCAAAGCTGCTGCAAGAACTTGGAATGCAGACTCCCCATAGAATACTTGAAAATCGAGGCACTCTGTGACCCATCTAAAAATAAATTATCGTTATAATTTATTGCAGTTTTCGTATAATGTTAAAAAATATGTTTTAGTACCTAGTAACGAATAAGAATGCCGTTTTCATTCATAGAAATATAATTTTTAAATGTTTTGTCGATGAATAAGACTTGGATGTAATACAAATGATGGCGAATTTTTAATTATAATCCTATTTTACAAACTGATTTTTACAATCCATACTTATATATAAATGCGAAAGTAACTTTGTCTGTCTGTCCGTCTGTTACATTTTCACGCTTAATCCGCCTAACCGATTTAGATGTATTTAGAAGATAGTTTGAGACTCTGGGAAGGACATAGGATACTTTTTATCCCGGAAATCATCCCTTAAGGGGGTAAAAATGGGGATAAAATTTTGTATTGGGAATCAAGCTAGGGAAGAACCCGAGCGAAGCGAGGGTGAGTCGCTAGTTTAATATAAAATTATTTTAATAAGTTTTATATATTATTTTTATAACTATTTTAATAATTATGTAATATAAAATTATGTTGGGTAATTAAATTAAAACTGTTTTAATACAATAATTACTAATAACATATTACGATGAACATCAACCAAAATAATTTTCGATCGCCAAATTAACAATAACAACGAGAATATGCATAATTAAATAATTACTATGCATTACTAAATAGGCACTAAAGGCTTACTTTATTATATAGATAAAAGCTAATATACTGAATAAAAAATATATCTAATATGCATAAATGCTATAGGTATGTATAAAATATTAATGTTCGTTTAGGAGAAACAGCACATCTTAGAGTTTTTTTAATAATAAGGTACCTATGTTTTATTTTGGTTCTTTTCAAGTTGGAGTGGAGTGCTTTGCAAAATTACCGATAACCCTTAATGTAATATGTAATGTGTTGTAAATGCAAATCTAAATTTCATTGAAGTTTTTTGGCAGCAGGCAAGCAACATACCTACCAATGAAATTTGTGCAATGATGGACCGCTGAGTGGTATAAGCTAGTTTCATACGGGAAAGTCACTTTAATATGTTGGGACATATTGAGACATTAACATCTAGTTCCATGGTAAGCTAAGAAGCTTGTATTATAGATACCAGATAGTTGATACATTATACTTATGTAACTTTAAATACATACATACATATTTAAGTATAAACACCCATGACTGGAGTACAACCATTTGTGCTCATTACACAAATGAATTCGCGCGTTCGAATCTCCAGCGGGACTTGAACCCGCGAGCGCTGGCATAACAAGTAAGGTCACAACAAGCTGGGCCAAACGTGCCGTGAAAATTTGTTCACAAGATATTGGTAAACTGCAAATAGGTTATTGAATGCGTCCTTAAAAATGCACACTTATACTGATTAGAAAAATTTGGTGTTAGCAAGTCGCTAGTTTAGTGAATGAATAGACTTACATCTGTCACATTACTTCTTATATAATGTCCACTGTGTATTAAATAGTCCAAGTGGTCATATCCTTTTTCGCCACCGACGTTGAATTGCAGCGACGCGAGGCAGTACTTGCCGCGGACTGCGCCATCGATGGCCAAGCACTCGTCGAAGTCGCCGTACTGGTTGGCGTTGCCACTCAGAATACCCGACGGAGGTTTAGCTGTAGCATCGTACACTGTAACAAGTCACTATGTTTAATAAGTCCTATCTGTTTTATGTACACATATATCTGTATACATATAATACAATATAAATTGGTTCAAGTTGTGCATTGAATGTCCATACTAATATTTTAAATGTGTCCATACTAATATTTTAAATGTGTTCGTTTGTTTGTTTGTTTGTTAGTTTGTCCTTCTTTCACGTCGAAACGGAGAGACGAATTGTGGTGTTTTTTCGTATGGAGATAGTTGGAGGGATAGATATAGGCTACTTTTTACCGCGGGGCAATATCTCATTTCTACGGGAAACACGTTATAATACAACCAGAATTTAAAGGAAAACATGTTATAATACAACCCGATTTTTTTTGTGATCAGAATTACTTGAAATTTGGTATTAATGCTCTTCAGTACAATTGAATAAATACATGTTCTAGCATTTTTTGAAATTCATCCTTTAAGAGGGTAAAATAGGGAATGAAAGTTTGTATGAAATCTACCTTTTTTGAGATTTATTGGAGTTTTAGCGCGAGCGAAGCCGCGGGTTCTGCTGGTTTTTTTATAAAAAAAAACACCGATTTTTTCTCGCTTTGCTCGGTTACATCTCTGGGTACCTAACAATAGTTTATATTGTGGTACTTTAGATCATATCGTCTCTGCTTACTAAATTACATCCAAATCCATCCAGCCGTTACAACTTGAAGAAGTAAAAGATATACACACACATACACACTTGCATTTATAAAAGTCCGATTTTAATTAATGGTTTTGAATGAGATAGAAAGAAAATTTTGTTGGAATCAGCCCTTTTTTAACGTCCCACTTTCCTTCACCGCAAGGCAAGTGGTAATTATATTCAAAAGATACGCATATGAAAATATTAGAGGTGCGAGACCCGGGATTTGAACTCATTACACTCGGTTTCCCAAGTGATTGCATTGGGCAACCATTCTCTTAATTTGTACTTTTCATGAAAATATACAGATTTCAATTCAAAACACATAGCTTTATGTATACAATAGTTTGAAATATTGGTATTCTGAGCGATGATTATAAAAGCTAAAGAATAAACACAAAAGGATATTTTTTAAACATATAAATTTTAACTAATTATCTTTTCCTATTGAAGCATAATTAATGATGGTGGAGCTTTTTATAAGGTATAAAACCTCAAAACGAAGGAATATTTTATTGCCACTTGAACATGACTGATAAAGTACATTATATAAAAGTTGTAACTATGTATACTACATATTATAAAAGATGAAGTAATAAAGCTGAAAATGTAACAGCAATTTATATTATTAATAGATATTCATATTGAAATAAGTGTTATATATATAGTTTTTACTTGAAAGGGGTTTTTCAATACTGAAAAGTTTACAAAATTTTAAGCTTTGAAAAAAGCTTTGTAACTAAAGCGAATGCAGACACGGTAATCACTTTATGTTGCTTCACATATTATGTAAGTTGACATACTGTGCCCTACAACTTTTACGAGTTTTTTTTTATATTTCTATGTGAATAAATATGGCAAATGCTTTTCTTTTATTTTTAATAACTTGTAAAAATTATCATACCACCGTAAAATAGTATAGAAAATATTTTAGTTCAAATTCAAAATATTTTCTTCAGCATTAAATTATTACAATTTTTTACTGAACTTCATGAGTCTACTACCAGTTCAGAAAGAAGAAGCCTTAGACCTGAGAAGAACTGGCGAAAGAAACTCAGCGGGACTAATATCGTATCGGCGGGACTAATAACTCGTTATCTTTTTCTTTTTGTTTATATATTTATACAAACAACACTGAAGTTAGTAATTACAACATATTAATACTTAGTGAGAACAAATAGGTATTTGCATTTGTTCTCATCAAGTATGAATTAATGTCATGAGGCCATCTGTGTATCGGTTGGCGTACTTTTAATCACACTTTTTTGTTTCACATCTTGCGCATGCTTCGATCTTTTTATTTATTGTTTTATGTATTACAAATTAACTAAATAAGAAAATAATTGTAATTCGTTCGACAATGACATTTGAACCCAAAATAATTAACAAGCATATTTCCTATTTATATCTTTACTGGTAATTTATTTATGTCTTTAGTAGCGCTGTTCAAGGAAGCTGAAAAAAATAATAATTATATTATAAATGAGTCAGTATGTTTGTTAGTTTGTCCTTCTTTCGTAGCAATGAAGCTTTTTTGAAATTTGAGATAGAAATCCTTTATTCGCCAGAGAGTGACAGAGACTATTATTTTTCAGTGTTGTTGTTTTCCATAGGATAATAGCTTGTCTTAAAGCTCTATAATAATTTTAAAATATACTATATATGTATAATATATTTTATATAATAAATATATTAAAAATAACATTTATTTATTTTTAGGAAATTGACACTGTATGACTATATAGCATTATTTGTTTTCTTCTGTGCAACCATCAATTTTAATTTTACACGCCAAAAGCGATATATTATTATTTAGATTATAGGTAAAATATCAATGCATATACCATATTATGTATTCATTATATTGTATCTGATGTCTAAACTGAATCTTTAGATTGGTGATATTATTAAACTCTGTCAAAAATGGAGCTAAATCGTTATTCTTCTGTGAGAGTCGAAGCCCGTTTTTTTGAATGTCGCCTACTAACATTGAATCCTTTAACGTCCAAATGGTGAAATGGCAGTGAGCAGTGAATGTTAAAAATTTGAGACGCTCTGAACATAAAATTTTAGAACGATTTAGTGTATGATTATTATAAGTGATTAGCATTAATGCCAGCAGATCAGGGGGTCGAAAAAGTTTCGAGACGTGGACGTTGGCAGAAGAAGTATGAAAGCAAGATGAATGCAGTAAAAATATGAGACCTCAGAGGACTTTGGAAAGCAAAACTTTTTAATACTTAAAGAAAGTCAAGTCGAAAGTGAAATGAAGACGTGGAGTCTTCAGACTCCACATCGAGCATCTATAAAAAGATGATAATAATAAAAGAAAATGATATATAAAGATGATGATAATAAAAAAAGAGGTACGAAAACCCTATAATCTTGCAAAATGAATAAGAACCACTTCCTCTTATCCTACAGAGTCGAAATTTAACATGTCGGTTCAGTTCCGATGACATTTTTTTATACTCATGGCCTGATTCTTCATCTAGGATTGGCTCCAAACGAAACAACTCCTTAACGGCTAACAGTACAGACACGAAATTTCGTATACGCAATCATTTATAATTCAGTTGAATTAAGTAATGAGTTCACATCATGACTTGTAAACACCAAGACTTGTAAACTACGTAAAGAATTAGATAAATAAATTGAAAGTAAAAATTATTTAAAAACAATCTTTTACTATCGCACTAAAAAGAAAAAATAATCTATAAAACCTGGTTTGTGAAAAGTTTTTATTTTAATTAATTTATTAGCAATTATTCCTTTTTTAATTTTATGTGGTAACATATTTATTTTGCTTAGTGTTATTTAATTTAAATCTTTGATGGGAAGGTTAAATCTCAAGTTAACCATGCCTAAGACTCACGTTGTCACTATAAATTTTCGATACAAACAATAGTTCAAGTACTTTCGTATGCAAACCTCGTTGTTGTTAAGGCTATGTGTTGCACCGGCCGGTAAATGATATAAAAAGTATATGAAACGTATAATCTATACATATAATAAAATTGTAACTAAGCCGAATCTGTACATTAATATTTTTTGAAAATTCTTATTGAAATAAACATTATTATCGATACAGAGGCCGAAGATATAGTTTTTAGAATTTTTGTCTGTCTGTAGGTCTGTTACCGCATCACAGAAAAACCACTGTAGGTATTTGGATGAAATTTGGTATGGTGATAGCTAGTTAGCCTGGTCAACATATAAGATACTTTTTACCGCGGGAAAATATCTCATTTATGAGAAAAAATGCAAAAACTGCAACGTAAGAGTATACTAATCTGTAAAACTTAAGAATTTGGTTTCTGGTCATCTGCACGCGGGCGGACCCGCGGGCAATGCTAGTACGTATATAATATCAATTGCAATACAAATAAATTTGTGTTTATATGTAAATTTCAGTTTCAATAGTTCGAAATAGATCTAAAATACTTATTGAATTATTTATACATTTTACAATTTAATTTTACAATAAATTATATAATTGTAAATTGAGAAAACTTTATTTAGCACGAAATATTTAATATTCAAAGAAATTAAATAATAATAATTACTTTTGAGTGCCCATAGCTCCAGTCTATTCAGACTGTCCAGAAACAATCTGCTGTCCCGACGACACTGCTGACTCGTGCCATTCATGGGTACCATTATTTTCGGGAACCTGTCCCATAGTTCCAGAATATTTACTTTCGCACTATCGACATATGAATTGTTCTTTACTTTAAATATGGTTCCATTGAATATACTTTCAGACAACAAGCTGTTTTTCATAGTAAGTTCTATACACTCGCGGGCTGCGCAAGCGCACACCAGGCAGAGAAGCACGCAAGCGCGCGCAGCCATGTTTCTCTTAGCAATGATGTCTCGTACCGGCAATTTGGTATTAAGATCGGTGGAACAATAGCAGTATGCCACTGACACCAACAACAATAGAGTTGACTAATTTGTTATCTACCAAGTAGTAAATAATTTATATATTCAGATTATATTGCTTTTTTTGAAACATTTTCGGTTTTTTTATAACGCTTTATCTACCTTATAGAAGCCAACCGCGCGGACTAAAGTGTGGATATTTGTTAAAGTAAAGGACACGAGTACGAGGATCAAAAGCTAAACTTTTGCTGTATTTAAATTTTAATACTAATTTTTTTGACAATTTCCATAAATGTATGGTTTTTATTGAATTTAATGCGTTTCAAATTATTCATTTTTATAAAAAAGTGCAATTATCCTAGTCTTTGATCTGGAAGAGATACTTGGATAGATAGAGCCAATACTAAGATTTTTTCCACTAATAGTAATCATTATCTTTGATAACCATAAGCTATTTATTTTATCGAAGCAACATGGGTTAGGGAACTAGTTATATGTAAATATAACTAATTCTGTATTAGCAGTAGACCTTGATCCCAAAAGTTTGTGCAAGAAGGATATTAATAAAGATCACAAATGATGGGTACGCAATTTTCTTTAAAGGAATTTATTAAACGTAGCAGTTTTCAGATTTTTGTTTGCTCTTTTTACGAGGGTTTTGGTGTAGTCATAGCCGCATAGTTTTTTCAAACTTGTATTTTTTTTTAACTATATTTCTTATCGATGTCATATTTATACTCGTATACGTATATAATGTATATGAAACATTATAAGGTCAAAATATGTTGGCTTTTGAAATATTTGTTTTGTAGATAAAAGGCATATTAGTCGATTTAGGTCTGTCAAATTTCTAAATTAACTGCATTTCCTAAAGTATTTTTTACTTTAAATACATATTATAATAATAATGTCCTCCTAACCGATTTGGGTCACGGTGGTCAATCTCACTGAGATTAGCCAGATAGATGCGCAGCAGATATTATAGTGCACAGATATATGCGTAGATACAAGTGCACTCTCTATTCCTTTTACTCTCAAAGTCTAATGGGACGATATTTTGCTATGACCTGTGAGAGTTAGGGTGCAGGGCCGACGGCTTTACGTGCTCTCCGGGGCACAACATTACTAATTTTCCAACTCAGAGCTACTACAGCAAATATCTTAACAGAAAATCTCAGCAATCAATCAAACTTGGCCCGGGACTCAAACCCAGGTCTTCAGCATCTGCACATACATGTTAGGCACTAGTCCACCGAGGCAGTTCTATATATGTAATATGTACATATATTTTAACATATCATACTCCAGAGTATTATTTTAAATAGACGATATGATGCTTATTATGGCTAAATATGCAAGTGTAATTTGCATGTTTTTAAAGTTGAAAAAAAAAAAACTGTAATTAATTTTTAAATATACCACAATCGAAAGCAATATATTATGATAACCGTCGTTTCACCTAATTAGTTATTTTTTGATATTTATATTTCCTGGAAAGTCCTTACGTTTTATTACCAACTTCAAAGCGAGATGTTTTGTATTAAATATTTAATGATTATTTCTGTTATTCATAACCTATTATTGTCATATTTTTATTTAGTAACATATTTTTTAATATAGGATAGTACCGTATTATATATACTATCTATACAATATCATCCCTTCTAATTTAGATCTGGATATAGAATGTTTTAATTATCTATCCCATAAGAAAATTGACCTTGTCACCTCCGAGGTAATAGGCAATATCTTAATTTAGGTTTTATATATTTAAAATCATATAATTATATGTTATATGTAATAAATAAAAAAAATATCACGTATTTTTTTCCTTTTTATTCAAAAACGAATGACCTAGAATCGCTTCGCTCAGGTGCATTTCTAGGTGACTAGCTGTAGCCCAGTTTTATTACTTTAACACTACTAATAAATTTCATTTAAATCTGTCCAAGTATTGCAGCATTTTGAGTAAAAAATATACACACATACGCAAACACATATGTACAAACAATTCAACTTGTTAATAGCTTCAAAGTGTGCCATTTGAGGACGGTATGTCATGTACAATGGAGAAGACACTAATGAGATTGATCGATAAAATAGGATTATTAAACTTCTAGCGACTGACTTCTAGCTTGCTTCCCAATACAAACTTTCATCCCCATTTTCGCCCCCATAAGGGATGATTTCCGGCATAAAAAGTATCCTATGTCCTTCCCAGGGTCTCAAACTATCTTCTTACGAAATTTCATCTAAATCGATTGAGTAGATCCAGAGATTACCCGCTACAACGTCACAAACTCACAAACACACAAGCACACAAACTTTATCTCTTTATTTTAATGGCTTCTAAGCGTGCCAGTTAAGCACAGATTACTTCCGCATTATCACACCATTGTCACGTAGAATGAAGAAGATAAGAAAAAAGCCAAACACATTAATTACATATCAAAAAAATTACCGTCGTCAAAATGAACCTAGACATCGTGACAGTTATTATAGATGGCAATTGCTTAAGTATCTACTAAATTGAGCTACTATTATAATTGCATAAGAAAATAAAATAATTAAAATTTTTAAATAAAACTATCTTTTCGGATTATTTCGCTGATTTATTTAGATTTTTGTTTCCCGACGTTTCGAATGCTTTACAGCATCCATGGTCACGGGAGAGACTGACGTGTTACATGTCTTGAAGGTATAGTTGTTACTGTCTAAAAAGATAGTTTTATTTAAAAATGTCAAACATTCGCGTAAATCTAAGAAAATATTAATTAGAATTTACTAACCACTTATTTCTATTGCTGTCTAAATGCTGTCTTTTGTTGTAGATTCAAAGTTAATTAATCGTTTATTCCCTTTTTTAAATACATTATAATTGAAAAATTCTATTCAATAAAGAAATTTATTAATATTGATACAGTTATTACAAAATGTTTTTATTGAACTAATTAGGTAAAAATTTATGACAAAGTTGTGGGATAGATGCTTCCGTAGATACATAGATACTGAATAATTTAACCAACTTGGTTTTACATTACATCTTATAACTTTTTGCAGTAGAAGAATTGCGTTGCGAGACTTGTATTTTTTTACAAGTTATGTTTTTGATGGGATAATACTTTACTAGTTAAGCCACAGTGACAGCCCGGAGTTGGGAAGTTGGCGGTGTTTCACCCCCGTGCCTCGGAGAGCACGTAAAGCCGTCGGTCCTGCGCCTTAACTCTCACTGGTCGTGTCGAGCAGTCGTCCCACCGGAGTATGAGAATGACAGGAATAGAGAGTGCACCTGTGCCTGCGCGTACACTTGTGCACTATAATATCTCCTGCGCAGTTGGCTAGTCTCGATGAGATTGGCCGCCGTGGCCGGAATCGGTCAGGAGAACATCATCATCATCATCACTTTACTAGTACAGTTGCCCCATACCATACAAAGAAATTGGACAATGCTAATTTGGGATATTATTTGACTATTTTTGTTTGCTTGAATAGATAATAGATGTCGTTAATTCGCAAATTGTCGAACTATTTTATTTTACAAAAAATCAACATTAAACTGTTTTCTAAATCCGAATTTATTGTGAAATATTTATGACAAAACTAATAAAAAGCTCCCTGAGAGCAGAACATCGGGGAGCTCTTTATTACTCTCATGCAACTTTTGCGAACATTATACTTATAAGTTATAACGATGTTTAAAAATTGTTTGTGTCATACAAACATGATCATGGGCTAAAACTCATTAACATACGATGTTGCGGAATAAAATAATATATTACTAAAATATAATAATATATTAAGATATTGTGCATAAAGATTGCGGAAGCGAAACAAATTATAGGTACCATTTTTTAATTATATAGGTACATTAAAGACAGTGTATCTCGAAAAAATTATACTAAATCTAAATAAAAACAAATAAACCACATATAAACAAAACGAAATGGGTATAAAATGTCTTGGGTATTAATTCGATTTTACTATATATTAAGCATTATTTCATCTTTGTGCAAATAAATAACGCTATCTTTTGGCAAATTTTATTACGAACTAAACCTAAATGGTTTCTAAGAGACTTATCAATATAATATTATATTCACAAAACTAGCGGCTCACATTCGCTTCGCTCGGGTTCATCTCTAGATACGTTTTAACGCTTAGTATAGATTTCTAAACATGAGACACTTTCCTGCAATAAAAAGTATCCTATATGTTGCAGCTATTATCATATTAAATTTCATAAAAATCTGTCCAGTGGTTTTCTCGTGATGCGTTTCCAGACAGACCGACAAACAGACAAAAATTCTAAAAACTATGTATTCGGCCTCTGTATTGATAATAATGACAATTTCAATAAGTCTTTCCAAAAATATTTAATGTACAGATTCGATCAAGTATAATTTTATTATTTATGGATATGATAAATCTATGCATAATTATTCTAAAGTAGATAAATTCAAATTACTTACACCGAGCCGTCAGTACAAATAAAATGTCATCTTAGTGAACTTCAGGGGACTCAAAGGATTTCTTCAGATTTTAAATCTGTAGGACCATCACTTTACGCTCGACGTAGTTCTCTCGAAGTCTCTCATTTAACCGCAATGTTGTTTTATTGGTATATAGAAGTTCCGTTTTGTATATTTATATGTTTTTGACAATTCGCCATCTATATATATATATATATATATATATATAAATTTTAGTTTATACTAAATAAATGTATATTTTATTAGCGAGGCAAGTCGTGTGGTCGTGTGTCGCTGTGGACGACAAGTTTCGTCACCGCTGGAGGCCGGGCACTAAATCCTTTTACTAATTATACCGTCCTCACAATTGAATACATTTATTCAGCAACACTATATGTCATCAAGGCTCTTTCACTGAGCTGTCGTGAACATAATTTAGTTTATATATTTGCTTCTTGCTATCCTTTTTGTTTATTTACGTTACGTTTACGTTTTCGGTTA